TAAGCAGCGATGCAAACGCGATGCAGTAGCTAATCGTCTACCTTTACTTACACGCGCGACTTTAAGCAGCGATGCAAACGCGATAAAAAACGCGCGACTGCATCGATACAATCGCGTGATTGCATCGCTACACTTGTGATTTATAAGCGATTGCATCAATACAATCGCGCGTTTGTATCGATGCAATCTCGCGTTTGTATCGATGCAGTCGCGTGTTTCACGAACGCGCGTTTGCATCGCTGCTAAAAGTCGCCGTGTGTAACCTGTCTTTAGTCGACAAGAATTCAAGTCACCGTTATAGGAATTATCAATTTTGGAACACAAATACAAAATAAACTTAGTCTCTACGCATACTTATAACGTTCACAATGGAACTTTCATTTTATTGTGACCTGACTAGGACAAAGCTTGCCTGGTGTTTGCGTAGTTTTAAAGTGATTGACCAGTTTGTGATGAGCTGAGGCTCATCGTCGTCGACCTATTATACGCCCCACTGCTAGGCACGGGTCTCCCACGGATGGCTGAATGCGGGTTGGGGATTTTACACGAGTTTTAAGTGTTGTGAACCTTCTTCCACTTGAATGGTTTTGTTACTAAACATTTACAAGTATATGTTACTTACAAATTAAAGTCACAGGATGTGACGCCACAGGGAATTGAACCGTTGACCTTTCAATTGAAAATCAATCAGCCTCGCAATAGGTTGTCACATCTGTTTTTAACGTTTGATGTTTTTGTTATAGTCTTTTAGATAATTTAGAGGAATTTCTTTCAATATTTTTTGTTGGATATCATTGCTTTTGAATACTGTACTATTATTATTTATATTAAAGACGATAATATTTGATTTAATTTGTATTAAAGCGAAATAATCTTTATTTCATAGGTAAAGAAATTACACTAGAAATCGTCATACTGATTATAGTTGACTGCTCATTCGTAAGGCAGATTCCCCTGAGCAGAATGAGCCAGAAACTCTAGGGGTTGCTCATTGTAAATAAACATTTGTATACATTTATCATTTACAACATTTATTTCAAATATCAGACACAATAGAATGTAATCACAGATCCATACTAATATTATAAATACGAAAGTAACTCTGTCTCCGTTTGCACTTATAAACCTAGGAGACCTAGTAGAAGGACGTAGACTACTTTTTATCGCCAAAAAATAAATCTTCAAATAGGGGATGAGAGTTGGTATGGAGAACCAATAAAACTATGAAAATTAGCATAGCACAATGGGTTTCCTATCAGAAGGCCGAAATGACATTTTCCAGATAACGTTTTCTCGAATTTTCATAACCTCGAAAGTAATTTTGAGAGGAAAATGTTTTTTCTTTTAAACCTTTTTTTTTACGGGGGGAAATCTTTATGGATACCCCTGAGCCCGGGGAGACTCAGGGGTTATGTGGGGGCTCTCCCTTCAGACTGGAGGGCCTACCCCACTAAAACCCCCCGGGTTTCCCTCTCGCCGGTTGAGTCGGCGCCGGGGGATCAGTGAACATTCACCACGACGCCGCCCGGCCGCCCTAGCTTACGCCAGGGCTCCCGCGCCAACGGAGGGGCGAGTCGGTTGTCCTCCGACCCGCCCCAGACGAGTGAGGCCGTGCAATGCAGGCTCCGGAGTCCCTGTCCAGAGCCCGCTGGTCTCACTAGGGGATCAGGCGAGCAGCGAACTATCTTCGCCTTCTCCCCGTACGTCTGCGCCGGAGCGGGTTTTCTTTTAAACCTTACTTAATCTAACCTATCCGAACCTAATCGTGTCTTTGCGATAAACATCCAACATATACTGAAAGAACAACGGTTTCGTTATAATTCGATTTTCGGGGTAATGAAAATTCGAACAAACGTTATTTCGGACAAAATAAATTCGAATTGGTGATAGGTTACCCACAATGGGCTATTCGAAATTCATGACGAAGTCACCATTTAGTATAAGTCTATGACTGCCTCCATGCCGAACGGTTACTATGCTGGACTGCCACCCAGAGATCCCAGGTCGGGAGAAATATTTTTATGAACTGCATTTATTTCGCTCGTGATTTTGGGTGTAATTTGTGCTTGTCTGTGTATCCATGGCACCAGCGACACAGAGTGTCCCTAGTACGGGACTATGAGTGTGTGCGTTATTATTATTATACTATAAATTTTTACACTCATTGTATTGGTTTCTGTCTAGAAATAATCTCCACAACAAACGTGAAATCTAGGCGGCGTTTCGGATTTTTATTAACCGACTTCAAAAAAGGAGGAGCTTCTCAATTCGATTGTGTGGTTTTTTAAACTGAATTTGATGATTCGTTTTTTGTTGGAAAGAGCTCCTTGGACGTGGTCCCATTTAAATTTGAAGAAAATGTTCCACCTCTATGGGTGGCAAACTAGGGGATGAACGACTTTTGCAGTCGGTTTTTTTAGTACTCAGTATTGAGATTACTTAATTATGTTTACGTTATTGTTATTACATTCCAGACGGCGGATGAAGATGCGTTACAAATGAAAGCAATAAAAAAATTCGAGCCAGAAAAAGTAGAAGAGAAGAAGAAAGGTTTCTTCATGAAATTCATAGCCATGATGGATTTGGATTTACTGAAAGACTGGTCGTTTTTGAACCTTTTACTCGGCCTCTCGCTGTTTTGGAGCGGGGAGCTTCAATTTAGGATGTTAACGCCTTTCTTTATTAGGAGTTTGGGATACAACATGAGCGATACGGCGTTCTGTCTGTCCATGACTGCAATTACTGACATTCTAGTGCGGTTAATACTGCCGCCTATATTTGATAGAACGAATATATCAAAGAAAATGATATTTTTTGTATCGTCGTTCTTCTTAGCAGCCACGAGGTCAGGTGAGTCTAATACCCTTGTTCTATTTCAACGCCAGCTTTCATTTTAGGAGGTGAGGTTTGTGGGACTGCTCCTCGCTTCCCGCAATCCGCACGCTGATAATTAATATGAATAAAATAAGAGCAGGCGGAGAAAATCTGATACAGGTCCGTCGTCGACAAGCGCCCGATGGCGACTGACCAGGCCACGGGCGGTGTGTCGTTAAACCGCTAGACGGTTTACAAATTTTGGGATAAATCGATACCTTGATTTAAACTTTCACGATTTCCACACATTATTTGATTGTTAATTCGGGACTTAATCACGTACAAAACACATTTTATTTACCTCGACGTTTCGGACATATTGGAACGTCCATGGTCTCGAAGAGACTGAACAGTCAGCATCTTCTAGCCATGCGAGTTTTTCTAACTACCCGCAATTGATCTTCATTATTTATTTGTGCACTAGGGTTCTCACTAGACCAACACACAACACTCACGACATCCGGCGACTTGTTGTTGTTGACAACACTCCCGTCATCTGGCGACAACGGATACATACAAAATATTTGACAAAATTAGGCTTGCCAGATAGCCGGGAAATTCGGGATTGCCTCGTGTCCAGTAATTAGATTTTACTGTCCCGGATTTCAAACACTTAGAAGTTGTTTTTACAAACTCACTAGAGTCCTTTTCATAAAAGAAGTCCCCCAGACACAGAGAGAATGTCGAAATATTGATTGCGCGTGATGTAAAATTTTTGTAGGTACTTTGTGAGTATTAAAAACTCCCAAAATTTGGTAGAAAGCAATGTTATGAACCTATAACTATAACGAACCTATAACTAACGCTATAACTTGGACCTTTCATGGCGAGAGTGAATAGGCATTACTTAGGTGTGCATGCTTCATCGTCGACCTCATCATCACTTTCCATCAGATGAGATGGAGGTCAAATGCGCACTTATTTTTTATATAAAAATAAACCTTATTATAATTGTCCCGGAAATGAAAAGTCAGTATTTGGCAACCCTAGACGAAATACAGCTGGATAATTTCAGTATTTGAGAGGTTGACACTTCACGCCTGCGTCTAACGTAAAACAAGAAGCAACATTTGTCATGGAATTAATTTTTTCCATTTTCATTTTAATTTACATTCTCCTTTATTATTTCCTCGTATTGTTCAAGAAAATCATAATGCGGGGTTATTTGTAATACCCTAACGGCCTTGCAAGATTATATTGCTAACATCATAAAGAACAACTGTTCTCAACAAAAAACGGAAAACTCCGTGTTGCGGGTGCCGTGGACACACAGACAACCACAAATTATACCTAAAGTCACGAGAGAAATAAATGTAGGCCATACAAATATTTCACCCGGTCCGGGAATCGAACCCGGGACCTCTGTGTGGCAGACAGCGTGGTATCCGTCCGGCCACACTGGGAGTTTTGTTCCATGACTTTTGCAAAACCATAAATTTTATCATTTGTTGTACGACCTATTTGACACTTTTTGCATTTGGTAGTAAAGTAGTCAATTCAAACGTCCAAGCGTCATGTAGTTCTCGACCACCGACCTCTCCCTCCTGCGTTTTGCATCGAATTTTTTATTTTTTTGTTACCGTACAGTTATGACCTTTTAGAGCGATCTATTTAAATATGTAAAAACATTCGTGCGAAAGTATAATCTGATGAAATAATTATTAAAAGTAAAAAGGGAATACAAATTATTGTTTACTATGTTAGTAATATATTTTATATATTGTCACTAATTTACAAATAATCTTGTATTTACCTCGGCGGGAACGGGGATTGCTCAACTCTCTTATTATATAAAAAAAAACTTTTACTCATCCAGCAATCCTCTACAATAATGTACAAACGGCAGCACATCAAGCTACACATTGACGGATCTTGTTCTGCACCGGAGGCGACATTCGAATAAAAGTGTATAATTACATTTTTATTGAATTGATATTCAATTATTTTTTGTGAAATTACTCCACTAGTTTGTTATAATTATTAATACAAAGATCGAACACTCAGAAAAAACACTCAGATAAAATTCCTTCGATCCGGTCGGGTTCGAACCGACGTCCTCTTGCATACCGTGCCAGACGCTATACCAACTAAGAATCTCATAGATGGCGCTACGACTAAAAATCGTTGAAAGACCAAGTACAAAGACACGACGCAAGCACATAGAAAAATTCGTGAGGTCCGTTGGTTCGTTCCGTGGCTTAGTTGGTATAGCGTCTGACACGGTATGCGAGACGACGTCGGTTCGAATCCGACCGGATCGAAGGAATTTTTTCTGAGTGTTCGATCTTTGTATTAATAATTATAAAAGTGTATAGTTTGATGTGCTTTAGACTGTACTATATTTTTATTAAACTTAAATACCAACAATAGATTATAACACTGATAAAGAATAATACCAACACAAATAAGCATTGGTATTCGATGAGTAAATAATTTAATATTTAATAAACGTTTATAATTCCAGTACTAGCCGAGCAAAGCGAATGGATTCCACTAATGATCTGGCTGTCAATCTGCGGGTTCTTCCGAGGCATGTGCCTGAGCAATTTCACGCTCACCATATCAGAGTATTGCCCTCTGGAGAAATTACCCGCGGCTTTTGGCTTGCACATGGTCAGCAAGGGTGTATTCGTCGTCCTTATTGGTCCGCTCATTGGTATGTTTTTTTAATTATTATTATTATTATTATTTATTAATAAATATATTTATACAATGTATTATGTCAGTTCCATCGTGTCCTAAACTATAGCTCACATGTCTGGGCGGCGCTGCTTTCCAGCAGCGCCGCCCGTGCTAGAGAGCCGATTCAACAAATAGTAACTGTCTTTTTACCTGTTCCGTGTGGGAATTGCTTACTATACAATTTACAGCACCTACGGATGTTTGGTTGATCTGCAGGTCTCTCATCAACGCCGTTGTTCGCACCGGACACATTCCAGTAACAAATTGTATGCATCTTCCACTACTCCACATAACTCGCAATTAGGAGAAATGTTTTTTTTTTCATTAAGGAAGCAAATCTGTTTAATGGAACGTGTCCGGTTCTCATACTTAGTGCGATGACAACTATTTTTTTACCATAATCGCACTCTGCAAACCAAGGCAAACGACGAGACTTACACTGAATTCATTGGCATGTTTCAATTTAGGTACATAGACAACTCGAATTCTTAGGTTTTCGCGATTGTTACACGTATAGCCTGTCTTTTTTGAAGATGGAGTAAAATGACAGTTGCAGGTTTGTCAGTTTTCGTAAAATGTTTAATAATTATGTAATTGTTGTCGACAGTTTTGTAGATACATTGTGAAAATCGGTAATATTTTGCCAATGTTATTAATTTTGCTAATGTCTGAATTGTTAATGTTACGACGTTCTAATGATTACTAGTTGGTCTATCAGTATCGAAATCAATTTTTAATCATGCATATTTTAATAACGACAGGTGAATTTGAGTATGTGTATTAAATTCAAATGAAAAACATACATGTCTCCTATTTGTATTTTTTATACACATACTGCTAAACTTAGTGTTTAATATTTATATTGTCAACTATGTCAATAAATATTAATATATTTATCGACATATTATTAATATAATATTTATCGACATATTTTTTCCAAACAAAGTAAAGTTTCGTACATTTTACATGTCCCAGGGTTAATATAAACGATATAAATAATAATCATTTATTTAATAACCTGATGTCATGACTGATAGATAAAATTTTCTACTCCATGATTATGAATACAAAGGTTTTGTCGACCCGGTTGAACTTGAATCCACGTCCATGCTGCACCGTAGCATTGCTCTTACCAACTGAGCCACGGGTACGGTTACCGACTCGTGGAGCATGCTGTATTCATAATCATAACAAAACTAGTGGAGTTATTTAACAAAAAATCTCAATAAATGACAATAACTTATTATTACTTATAACATGTATAATTAATATCTCTTATTTACAGTATTAGCATTGACTTATAAAATTTGTAATGTAACAAAGTTTAAAATTCGATTGCCAGTTTTGGTAAAATATGAAAATTGTTACTATACACCACCTTTTTGTAAAATATATTTTATGCAAATAAATATCAATAAATCAATTAATCAGGTCGAGGGTGACTACTGTGTGTGACGCTTTCACATTCACATTCAAGATAACGCTCTTAATTTAGAACAAAGAAATTGATACTTCATAAAAATAAAACATTTTCGTCACGCTGGTTTTACGTGGGTCAAATTCATGTCTAGCCCAGATTTAATGCGTGTTAGAGACGTTACAGGTTGTTACGACGTCATCATTAGATAGCTAAAGTCTGTTCCAATCCATAGTGCCACAAAAGTAACTAAACGGATCAGTTTAGTGATGGCCAACTATACTGCCAACTACAAATCGAATAATTAATTGATTCAATTGATTTGTTTAATTGAATCAGTTGGAATAACTGGGTTTTATATAATATAATGGGTTCTGCGACTTCGCTGCTGATTACTATAAAAAATATGTGATTCGATACTGAGTGATGATATTTCATACATAGATTAGAATGTTTTTCTGATAAAACCTATAAAAGCAAATTCAAAATTTCCGAAATATAATTTTAAATCCCCCTTTAAGTCTTATATTTGTATATTCGTTCGATTGTGATTAAATTTTTGTTTCACTAATCTGTTATAAAAACTTTAATTGAATGAACCGAATGAGTTCTTTCCGTACAGCCCTATGCAACCATAGACTGTTCACAAATCTATATTTGAGAACTAACTTTACTTTTGAAGTAACATTTTTCAATTAAGATTTTAATATATTATTCAAATGAATATTACTGGAAAAAGTAAAGAGACAAACGTGAAAGTGTTAGTTGTTCCATTTATTGACTGATTGCTTAGAATTTTAACAAAACCGCTTTGTTTCCTTTGACTTTAAATTCCACATGACTTGCATTGATGGTGTGATTATTGTAATTTGTTATGTTTTCATTAACCACCAACCGGGGGCTATAGCAGAATATCAACGAGTCCTCTGCTGACCTAAGCTGTAGGTCTATTAAGTCTTGTTTGTTTTATTAATAATAGGTAGTGTCTTTATCATTGTATTCAAATAACGTAACTTGAAATTTTTGTTTTTTTTTTCCAGGTTACGTACGAGACTACACAGGCAGTTTTGCCATCTGTATCCACGTACAAAACGCTCTAATCATGTCGTGCGTCCTTGTATGGGGCATCGAATACGCTATCACAGGATTGCGCAGGCGCAAGGTCGTGCAAATCTAGTGACGTCAGCGACTCGTGAGAGTCTATGGACTGTTTACTTTTATACCAAGTACGTACGTTTGTATCGCTCTCAATTTTAGAGTTGGAAGAATAATTAAAAGCACGTGTTCTTTTATTTTCGAATTACATGTCATAGGGTTAAGGATAAATGTTTTTAGTAAAGCTCACAATGAGATCGCAAATGTTTAATCAACGTGTTTATGTATCTAGAGTTAGATTGTGTTCAAGTTGAAATTGTTACTCAACCCCACGCTAAGATGACGCAGATATTTTCAAGTACTTATGTAGTGACAAATACTTAAACTGTATAAGTTTAAAATGCTTGACTACAATATTTTGTAAATATTTTACATTTGTATTTCTTTGTTTAGAAATCTTTTTAGTGTTATGTATGATCGATTAATCGAGCCTCTGTGGTTAGAGAATGATTTATAGGGACATGATTCAAACAATTTGTGCTTAGAAAATCTTGTGAGTGTGCAACTAAAGGTACCTTTTAAAGAGATTTTACATTTAGGGTGTTACCACACTACTCGCCGAGAATCGGCTTGAGTTGAGAGCACAAGTTAATAAAAATGGATGTAAACTATTTTGATACTCTGGACTCAGTGCAAATAAATCGTAGCAGTAGAGGTTCTTGTGAAAGAGATAGTCCGGGGTAGTACTGCCACCTTGACGGTTGCCCCCGTAAGGATGCTGGTGAAATTACAGGCACATGAGTGACAGTGCCCTTTGAGCGGCACTGCAACTGTTATGGACAGGTGTGACGCGTACCACCAGGCGCACGACTAGTTCGTACCGTCAATATGTATCATAAAAAAAATTATCGTGCAAAATAACCGAGCTTGTGTGGGAAAAATTATTGCATGAAGAAAACGCAGCTAATTTGCACAAGTTGACCTTCACCGGTTTCGTGCAGTAGCAAATTAATTTATTTCCATTTTTATTAACATTTATTTCTGCAACGTATTGTCTGAATCTATAAATTATTTAATATGTACCAGGTCTCTATTACTCTTATTGCATAGAAGTGAAACTTGTTCTAGCCCGCTTAAGTCGATTCCAGGGTGTATAGTGACTTCCTCATTCGTATAATATCTGTTACAACACTATGACGTGAAATACAATTTTGACAATATGGAACATGAAATTTTGATTCGGGTAAATAACTATCTTTCCTCAAAATCGTCTGTCACGTCCATTTGTAATAAAGGGATGATATGAGCCAAATCGTACAATTAATTGTGTTTACGCTATTTTGAGAAAGCTGTTATATCTGATGTTTAAGGCGAAATTAAGCCACGTAGCTCTAGACAATAATGACAAATAATTTATGACAAATTACGTCTACCTATATCTTTTAACATATTGTGACAATGTAATCATATTTTTTGATATTGTTCTTCTAAGACGTTATTGTATATAATATCGAATAATATCCAGTGAATGATATCTTAATTTATTTGTAGAATGACATGACTTTAGAAACCTAAAATTGTATGTTGTCTGTTAATGAATTAACATTAATTTACCTATTTCTGCCAGCAAGCAGTAATGTGAGTATTACTGCGTATTGAAGGTGCTGGTGAAATTACAGGCACACGGGACTGGTCAACTTACGTCTCAGGGTGACGGGTACAGTGACAGTACCCCTCAGTGACGTGACGTGTGACGGGCAGGCGAGTCGCTTACTGATGACATTTTTTTTGCAATATTGCAAATTGACATATTATTCAGACTGTACTTCTTTGATTCATGTACTTTATTATGCTGGGTGTTTTCTAAGGAGAGGTACGGGGAATGGCTACCCGAACTATGGAAGGAAACAGAATTATTTTGTCTAATTAAAGTCTTAAATTAAAAGTAATATGAATTGACCTCAATGGACTTTAATAATAGTAAGCGTAGTTTAGTAGCGTGAAAAATGTAAAACATTCTAGTGAATTGACACGAACTGCATTTTGACAGTTACCTGTGTACTCCACTTGCATTCGAAGCCGTTAGTACGACATGAAACACATTGTAAGCTGATTATAAGCCAGTAGCTCTACCAGTCGGTTCTTCTTATCGTATAGATGATACACTTCCTTCGTGGTGGAACGGTTACTATCCAGCACTGTCACACACACATTTAATTCTCTCGTGATTTTTGGGTGTATTTTATGGTTGTCTATTCTGTGTGTGTACACGGTACCCGAGATACAGGGTCTCCCTAGTACGAGATTTACGAATGGCGTAAGGTACATACAGGAATCGTACGTCGTGCGGGGAGGCTCCTTTAGTGCACCCCAGTCGGTAATAGCAATCTAACTACAATTTGGTAGTCGCGTTGCAGTCGAAACGCAGATCGTGTGATTCCACCCTTAGATGAATGACTTAAGTTGAGGATAATATTTTTAGACGGCTGTTTCGAAGGGTTTCGATGACATATTTTTATATACTTAGATAGAGATAGAGAGAGAGAGAGTAGATAGAGATGTTATGAATTCTATTAGATTTAGAATTAAAGTGATTGGAACGAAAGTAGATTAAGTCACGTTAAACGTAGATCCTATAAAAATAACCCTTTGTCATAGGTAAAAGCTGGGTAGAGCCAGCGAAAGATCTAGAGCTTTCTTATTTTATTTATTATGGAAAAAAACGAGTAAAAATTTTTGTAAATTTATATTCTAATGATTATTTATATTCAGACGTAATTGACAATTTTGACGATTTACATCACAACTTAGAACATGAAATTCACGTTATGATGATGAATTGACGTCAATTTTCGAAATTCGAAAAAAATCCTTAAAATGTATTTAAAGTACTTACCAATCTTTGATAATGTTTTTTTTTAATAAGAATAAGCAAACAGTTATTGTTGCGCATTTTATTTCATAGACGGCGCTTCAGCGTTTAAGTGAAATACTTTAAAATAATGTACTTAGCAGATTCAACTGTGTCGTGCACTTTTAGGAGACGAGTTCTCTTAAAATTCTACTAACATTGTTGTAAGGTACTTATTAGCCCAACCCGCATTGGGCCAGCGTGGCGAACTATGGCCTAAACTCTCGTCTGAAAGGAGACCCGTGCTCAGCAGTGGGACATATAAATGGGTTGACGATGATAATGATGAACTTATTAGCTGATATACATTTATGGGCATGTCTAGTAATTGAAATCAAATAACTTTTACTATAGGGACCCCACCTTCAAATCGCGGAAAGAATCAACATGTTCCATATAAACTACTATATTTATTCCACTGTTATGATAAATATACTACTTATATGTGATTTCAGAAAACTGTAATTTGCGATTATTCATGGTCAGAGTGAGTAGGCATTTTTTGGAGAATAAGTACTAAAAAATCGACATGAAAAGTTCGTGGAATTATGTCCATTTGCCAAGTTTTATTGGAATCGGTTTCCGGAAAGTGCGCGAAACCGGATTCATCCCCTAGTTACCTTTAGAGGTGGAATATTTTCTTCAAATTTATGTGGGACCACTGCTGAAAGAGGGTACCTTTTTCTAACAAAAAAGAATCATCAATATCGGTTCACAAACACGGAGTTATCGCGTAACTTATATATCTTCTTCCTATAGATGAACATGCCAGGCTGTAGCAGAAATCAGCGGCGTTGTGATACGCTCCACCATTGTGCTGAGCTACAGACCTTTTTATCTCACACCACTATTGTTACTAATCATTGTATATTTATATTTTTACTTATTAATGTGTGGAGATAAATAAACGATTTTATTATTATTATTACATACAAAAAAAGAGAAAAAAATAGTAATAAAAACCTCCCCTTTTTTTGAAGTCGGTTGATAACACGCACGTGTTTGTCATATCATTGCTTAAGGTCAGTGCCTCTACCATGATATTACAGTGACAGTTATCGCTAACGACCGCATCAAATGATTATATACAAAATGTTTCATCTTGTGACCGCTAGAGGCGCTATATAATTTGCCATATAAAATTATGAAAATATACGCGGTAGCTAGCGACAATTGTCACAGTAAACTCGTGGTAGGGGCACAGGTGAAGCCTGCGTTTATTTTTTATTAATAAAAAATGCCTATTCGAACTGAACGTGCGATTTCAAAGGGTTACATTTGGTTTCATATATTAAACATGACCTTAAATGTCGATTATTAAATATATGTCTATAGTATGACCCGTTAATATATGTAAACCACAGGGTTTTAATTCAGGGTTCCTTTAAATTAGACGCGTAAACGCGCTGTAGAAGCGCGGCAGTTACGTGTCAGTAGACCTTCAATAATGTTTAGTTCATTAATTGTAACTACAAACGTGTCGCGCGAGTCAAGACACTGTGGCGCCACTACTGCGCTTCTATAAGCGTCTAATTTGAACGCGCCCTAATTTTTAGCATTTTATTTAAAATATAGAAATCAGTTCGGTGATAAAGTTCAGGAGTTACTTGTTTGTACGTCTTGCTATACATGGTGTAAAAAATAACGATTAGGATTTCATGACGCAATTTACTCTTACTAGACATTTTCCTCCTAAAAGACCAATATCCGATTTGCAAAGATAACGTTTTCATTAAATTAATTACACTTACTGAATTTTTTACACCCTGTATTTTTCCTTGTATAAAAAAATCTATCTCATCTAAAAGTCTTCCAATATTTCAAGTACTACTTTTCGCATTTATAAGGCAGTAGTGCCAATTCTGCGAATGCTAATTCTTCACATAATACTAATTTGACAGATCTAAAGGATTGATTTTAACCTAAAACCTCTTAACGTTTATATCAATGAAAAGAGTACATTTGTTCTTCAATTTCTTATATAATTCTACAAGGAAAGCTGGTCATAAGTTTATTTGGCAATTAAACCTGTCTTCAGTGATATTGTGCATAAACGTAAGCCAGTGTTAAATAAGACAATAAAGAAAAAAAATGTTTGTTAACACAATAGGAACGTTGTATTAATCAAAAGATTGTATAAAACACCAAAAAAGATTAAGTATATGACTTCGCTGCAGAGGTCTGCAGAGTACATAGCCCTCACTGAAAATCTGTTGTAGCTCGGCGTTTGCGAACTACGTCCGCTTAACCCGAGAAATGACGGTCCGAAATTGTGTTTCGAGCTTTAAGGATAATTAAAACAAGAATATATAAATATTATTATTTATATGTTTTTATGTGAAATTACTCCACTAGTTTCATTGACTTACAATTATATGGACGTCGGGTCCGCGCTAAAAAGTGTCCGCACTTGTAAGGCGCTAAAATCGTATACAGAGCGCGACACTCCGCTTTAGTCTTCATTTGTTCGACGGACAGCGCGATACTGCGATGACATAACAATTTAAATTTCGAATAGGTTGACTTGGGACATTTTTTTCGTGCTTTTTGTATTAGACCCGTCGTCCATTTATTTGTAAGTCAATGACTAGTTTGCTATAATTATTAATACAAAGATCGAACACTCAGAAAAAATTCCTTCTACCAACCTGCGACCACGGGAATACCGTCGCCTTGTTCTACCAACTGAGCTACAGGTTGAGTTAGCAGGTCGACGACATTCTTCTACGTGTCTGTTATAGATCTTTTGTATTGAGTTTTTTAGGATCTGTCAATTTTGCTCACAATTAAGATAAATTTATGTCTTAATCCAACTAAACTTAGTTTAAGTTACGAATTGCGATCACAGAATTGAACTAAAATGAAAGTTTCTGAATGTTAC